AAAGTTTTTTTTCAATTATTAGCCTAAAAGTAAAAAAAAAAAAATTTTTCTTTTAAAAATGGTTCACTGAAAGGGTCTTTGGGGAACCAAAAATGGTTCTTCTATTGAATTACTGTGAAAACCTCCTTGTGGAAGCTTTATTTTAAGAGTGGAGGCAACTTCATTGTTACGTTAGTTACGAGCATCCCATTTGCATGGAAAGCAGCTTAATTCCATGTTAGTTTGACATTAGGATGCATCTCACAATCGTGACAGAGAGGGGCCTCTACACGGCCGCAGGGCCCTGCAGGAGCATAATCCGTCATTGTTTAGATGAGCCTCAGTTTTACGGCAGGGACTGCAGATGCAGCACATGGTGTGCACTAAAGCTCGTGCCCTACTTAGAGCTCACATGATGGTGAGGAGCAGTCAGTCACGCATGAGAGAGCGGCAGAGGAATGCACACTGTATGCATGGGAAGAGCTCATGGGGCTCAGAAATACAGTGTGTTTATGAGGCTGATGGGTCACAGCGAGAGCTCAGTGTGTGTGTGTGTGTGTGTGTGTGTGTTGCTCTCCGAGCTGGAGCTTCGTGTTAAAGCAGTGGGATGCATATAAAAAAACAGACATTGACACACGAGAGCGCTGTGTGTGTGTGTGTGTGTGTGTGTGTGTGTGTGTGTGTGTGTGTGTGTGTGTGTGATGCTCTCAGAGCCGGAGCTTTGTGTTAAAGCAGTGGGATGCATATAAATAATAGACACTGGCACACAGACACAGCATGGCTGCCTCCACATTCACACGCCGCTGTCTGATGTCCTGGAGATGAGGAACACAAACACACACTCCCCACCTGAGGAACAGCGTTTGAGGCTGATCTCTTAAAGACGTCTCAGTGTGTGAACAGAGGCTGATGACTTTTCTTCTATGCTGTGTGTGTGGTCTTCTGTTTGTTGAGATGAACTGAAGGACGGTGATACATCAGAGCAGAAACGCCAGCCTTGAGCTCAGAAAGTACACAAGTGTTCGTGTGTGTGTCTCTGTGTGTGTGTGTGTGTGTGTGTGTGTGTGAGAGTGTGTGTGTGAGTGTGTCTGTATCTGTGTGTGTGTGTGTGTGTTTGTGTGTGTCTGTGTCTGTGTCTGTGTGTCTGTGTCTGTGTGGTAGGTTTAGGGGTAGGGTTGGTGTAGAGCAATATAAAATACAGTTTGTACAGTATAAAAACCATTACACCTATGGAGAGTCCCCACAAGGATAGCTGACCAGACATGTGTGTGCGTGTGTGTGTGTAAGGTCAGATTTGATTACCTTGTGCGGTTCTCCAGAGATACAGCACACACAGATAAGAGCTCCCAAACTCACTGAGCTCTCAGTGGCTCACCATCAAAATGTTGGACAAGACTGTGTATGATTCACAATTGTTATGGCTCTCATTTGAGCCGAGGCTGATTTACCAGACTTTCAGATTTGAGACTAAACAAAAAAGCATTATGAATCACCAACAAGGATCTGTTTCCAGATTTAAGTCTTGTTCACTCAAACAAACAAAATGAAAAGGCACTACAGTCCGAGCAGTAGTAGTCGACTGAGAGGGATTTTATGATGGCCAGAGCAGGCTGATGTATATCAGGGAACGTCTGCACAACAACGGTGGACTAAAAACTGAAAAATGTTGCGTACAGACAACAACATTGTCAAAAATGAGCCCTGTTCACACAGATCCATGAAAATGACTGAAAGCGCTGTATCATTCATGCCAGGCCAGTAGTTGGCGACGTCACTTTGTAAAGAAACTCACACATACCTATAGACTGAACACGTCATTTGCATGAACATGACGTCACTATTTTCACAAATGAGCGTTTTTGTAGTTTACAGTCAAGGTATAATTTTCAAAAACTGCCACTTTGAAACTCGTTTTCAAAAGTTTGTGTTTTCATGCTCCCGAACAGCCAAAACACACAAAAAGTTTTCCGTTTTTAGTTGAAAACAGTGGCATGTAAACGCCTCCTGACAGTACACCGTTTCATTTAAAGATAGCAAATACAATACAATTAAATTTATAATTTACACAATAGTTACTAAATTAGAAATAAATCATTTGGAGTTTTATTTGAAAAATCCTATAAATCCTACTGTAATCCTATTATCGTATTTTTAAGGAATAAAGAAATTACCATTTACTTTATTTGTTTAACCTCATGTCTCATGATTTATTAACCAGAACTGTTAAAGACAGACAGTGAACTAATGAAGACAGAGGAGTGGAGCTCCTGTGTGTCTGACGGTCTCAGCGCTGTCAAAATAAAAGTCCCGCTTCCAGCACTGATCAGCCAAACAGAAAACCTATTGGCAGATACTGATCATTAAAAAATGGCAAATACTGACAATTGTCAATTCAAGTTGAATATGGCAGAGAATTGTTAATTAAGGTCTCTTAGACCAAGAGCCAAATTGTAGATGAAAGGACTGTTCACACCAGGAGCAAGGCTGAACGAGAACCAGCTTCACTCCAGTACAGTAGGTGGCGCTGATCGACAATCAGATTGACTCCACTGCATTAGATGGCTGTAAAGATAGATGACTTTATCCTCTTTTAGCCAGTGGCCCTTCTGGAAACATGTCACACTTGCACAGGAGAACCAGAAACCAGCTGTGCACCAGCGCCTGTAAACACCAGTAGCTTCTCACCATGTAAACCATCTGACTACACAGACAAAAAAGCTTGATTGGTTATATACTTAGCTTATATGAGCATTATAAGCAGCCTATAATGGTATAAAGATGAATTAAACCAATTTGGACATTAAAAATGTGAGGTGTGAATAGCAGAGACCATGATAGGGCATGTTTATTTGTGGCAGGTTATGTAGTAACAGGCCGGTGGAGTTTCACTGGAAATGAGTTGAAATAGCAGCTGGCGCTTGGCTTTCTAAAGTGGGCGCAAGACAAACAGACCGTCTTAGATGGACACACTGGTTATTTGAGGTGAGAAGGCTCATAACACTGATCTAGGACCAGCCTCTCCATCACATGACCGCAGGAGATGGCATGAATCAGGCCGTTCCTCAGGAGACAGGAGATGAGGCTTCGCCATCAGAGAAACACAGACGTTCATTCTACACGCCCACACATCAGTGTCTGAACCAGTGATTAAACATGAGAAATCTCACTTGAGGATCTGCGTCAGGATTTTAAGATTTGCTTTTAGAGAATATATCTCTGAACTGACCTTACAACAGTGATTGTTTATAGGAATAGTCCACCCAAAAATGAAAATTTCCTCCTCAGGCCATCCTACGATTTGTAGAAATGTAGCATTGCATCAGTGTCTCAGCAATGGATGCTCTGCAGTGAATGGGTGCCGTCAGAATGAGAGTCCAAACAGCTGATAAAAACATCACAATAATCCACAAGTAATCCACAGCACTCCAGTCCATCAGTTAACATCTGGAGAAGACAAAAGCTGAGACAAATCCAGCATTAAGATGCTTTTAACTAAAATACGAGTCCATAATCCATACTAACGCTTCCTCCAGTGAAAAAGTGTTCTGGTGTGAATCAGGAGAGAAATCTGCACAGATCAAGTAGCGTTTAAACAGCTCTAAACAAATATGTGGCTGGATTTTGATGTGAGAGACAACAGCAGATGCACTTTTTCACTGGAGGAAGAGTTATTATGAATTATGGACAAATAGTAGTAGAAGATTAGAAAACTCCATTAACTAGCCACTCTGGATATGTAGTATTTGACATACATGTGTCATAACAACGCCCTTGGCTTTCACCACTGTTAAAGGAATTTAAAAAAAAAAAGAGGATTGCATGCATCCAACAGTTCAGTAAAGCTTGATGGACAGAATGGCAGAAATCAACAAGGCTTCTCAGCGCAGTGATTTGATTGGCTCTTTGGGCTGTCAGTCGTTTATCTGTGGTTAAGGTCAGTTCAGTTATTGCCTCAATGATTGAGAAAGAGTTTTTAATGCAGTGTTATTGGAAAAGTGTCTCAAGTTGACTTAACAAGAACCAGACTGGATCATGTCTGTGTTTGCTGGAGGAGAATGTGGGAGATATGAGATCTGGCCTGTAGATGTTCAGTGCGTCAAACATGTAGTGCATGACGTGATTTATACCATGAGACTTGATTGATGGATGCTGTAAGGTTATGCATTGGTTGTTTATTCATGTGTTTTAAGTGCATCGCAAGTGCCTCGAAGGTTGCTCTCTGATGCTCAAACAGATCAATGTTTTGAGGTTTGAGAAAGATTTTAAACAAGTAAAGACAAGACCATTTAATGTAGCCAGAATATGAGACTAACAGAGAGACACTGGAGAGTCTGCTGTTGTGGTTTGGCCAGTGACTTGACGGCTGATTCGATTAACACCAGTCAGTTACTGTGTCGGTTGTAAACAAGACACACAGACACAAAGTACACAGTGTACTGATATGAGTATCAAATCAATTACGCAATCAAATAAAGCTGCACAATTAAATAAGTAATCGAGATTATGATGCAGTTCATTTCAGATCTGCTCCTGTTGCATCATGTTTATATTGTGTTTTTGCTGAAGAACAAGAAAAGCAATGCTTTGAAGTATTTCTATATTTCTAAATTGACTGTTGAATTCGATGCATTGTAGACAGTGTTGTACCCAACATGCACTGCAGAGACACTCCCATTCAAATCACCAAGGCGTAGGTGTGGCTGAATCAGACATTTGAGTAATCTCAACCTTTCATAATCACAATTACAGTATCAAGAGAAATAATCAGCTATGTCGTTATTGTCATGCTCATGCAGCCGAAGAATCAAAGCCGTCGTAATTGTTCCGAAATCTACGAAACATGATCTCGAAGCCATCAATCAGCTGCGGTGATGTGATTGAGACCGAAGCATGCGCTCATGACGGTGAATCAGCAGCGTCTCGTCCTGCTTCATCAGACCATCTGTGTGATTCTGATGGTTTATGGTGCTCAGAGTGTGAGGAAATCACTTCAGGTTGTTAATGTGTTGTTTATCTTGCAGATCTTTTGCAAAGCAGGCAGCGTGCCACTCGGACAAGTACGTGTTCCTCCCTTCATGTCTCTGTGTAGTGTACTTCAACCCCTCACTACCCTACTACTGAGGGACTAGACGCAGATTCACCCCACTGTGTTTGTTTGCAGTAGCCAATCTTACCAATTATTTAAGGGATGCACGATATATCGCGGAGCAAAAAGTATTAGCAGAAATCAGTATTTTAACTCCTCTGGTTCGGCTGATATACTGGAAGCAGATAGTATCACAGATTACTGTATCGTTTTAGCCAACAGTGAGTCATTAGAAGTACTATAGTATAGTACTAACAAACGTTAAAGTAATGCTTTGATTCCTGCTTTAAGCATTAAACTAGACAAGTACAAATCTAGATTGTTGATCTAGTGTAACATACAAAATGGTATATATTTATGATATTAGATGTCAAAATTACAGTAAATTATTTTACTGTCAAATTTAAAACAAAAGTACTAAACATTGACAATTATATATAAGTATAGTTTTTTTTAAAGGAATTAATACTGTTGTTCATCGAGGATGCATTAAATTGATGAAAAGTGACAGTAAAGACATTTATAATGTTACAAAAGTAAATGCTGTTCTTTTGAACTTTCTGTTCATCTGTGAATCCTGAAAAATAAAATGTATCACAGTTTTCACAAAAATATTGTGCAGCAGCTGTTTTAAATTGTAATCATATTTCACAGTTTTTACTGTATTTTTGATCAAATAAATGCAGCCTCGGTGAGCAGAAGAGACATCTTTCAGAAACATGTAAAAATCATACTTATTCCAAAGTTTTGAACAGTAATGTATTTATGGGTTATCAGCTGAATAATTACTGGCATCAGTCAGAGTGTCAATATCTGTGCATCCCTCCATTATTCCTGTTTAGATGAATCTAATGATGAACAGAAAGTCTGAAGGCTGAGAAAGAGAGCTTTAGCTGGTAAATGTGATGTTCCTCATTAGCACCTGTAACCCTGTGTGAGCGGCACTCACTGAGTCTGTGTGTTTGACAGACAGCTTTTACTGATGTCTCTGTGTGTGTGTGTGTGTGTGTGTGTGTGTGTGTGTGTGTGTAGGTGTTAAGAAAGCCTCAGAGGATGAGGAGTTAGTGAGTCTGAGTAAGCAGCTGGTGGAAGATGCCGTGTTGCGGGCCGTGCAGCAGTACATGGAGGAAACTCAACAGAACGGCACCGCGCCGAAAGACGAGGCTCCGCCGGGGGCCGCCGGCAAACTCAACACCACCAAATGACCGCGTGAGCCCTGAGCCAGACCCTGCGGAGAGCCGCAACACGCCTCCACCTGCCAGGGGGCACCAGAGCGCAGCGGAGAGCGATTGAGTTGAGCTGAAGTGGAGCAGAGAGTGTACACAAGCCAAGTGAAGACGCACACAGCACTCGAACTGAACTTTATTTTCCTGCCTTCCCCCCGTCCTGCATCACTATCTGTTTGACTTTATTTGTGACGGATGCTTCAGAGAACAAGCAAACAGGTTCACACACACACACACACACACACATGCTGCTGTAGTGTCTGGAGGCCGTTGCTTTGGCATCTTCACTTCTGACAATCACAGTGAACTGCTCAGATTGACTGCACATGACCTGCAGGCCTGAAGCCCGAGCCGTCAGAACAGCTTATGAACTCTGAAAGTGTTATGAACACGCTGTTGCGTTTGTGTGTGTGTAACTGTCAGATGATGATGTGTGTGTTGTTTGTGCCGTAGGGTGTGTGTTTGCTCAGAGCAGAATGGATCGGGAAAGAGAGCGCAGGCGGACGCAGGTAGAGGCCATAAAGACACTGTTAGCACAGGAAAACATTCGAGCTAAGATCCGACAGGAGCTCGACTCGGCCGTCAGAGGGAGTCCACACTGAAGCTCATGGACACACACAACCATCTCAAAGTAAACGCGCTCACACACACAGACCTTCACTGATGAACACACACACACACTCACTCTGTGAGGTTCAGAAAAGCCACACACACATCAGTCCACAGCGTTCTTACTGAAGCGAGGCTGGCCTGAAGTAAGCTTATTATATGATTTTTGGGGGGAATTAAAATGTAAAAGAGCTGATTTGATTTGTCACAGTGGCCTTAGAGAAATCACACCTACTTATATTGCTGAAGAACATGCCGTTTCAGTTTTGCTTTTGCGTATTTTCACCAGAACCTTCAAATGTGTCTTTTTATGCTCCCTGTCCTGATCTCTCTTGAGTTTGCCCGTTCTGATGAAGTGTTGAAGCCAGCTCCATTCATGTAAACAGTGCTGTGATGTCATCGTTCAGCGTTTCCTTTCCCATCTGTCACTTTTTTTACTCTTAAAAATAAAGATGACAGCGAGTGGACGTGATTCATTCTCTCCGCGGCTCTGTGTTAATGATGGAGGTTGAGGTTGTTCTTAGAGTGTAGATCAGTCTTGTGTCTCAGAGTCATGTTGGCAGGGTTTTTCCGAAAGCTGCTCGCAGACACATTTGCAACGCCTCCGACTTTACGTTGGACTATTTTTTCCCTCATCCTCTGAAATAAGCATATTGCCTGCCGTCTGCTGAGCGTGAGAGAAATCAAAGCACCACTGAGAACAACAGCCTTGACACATTCGAGGCTCTAGAGTTCTGACACGAGGACTAGACGTTTATTCGAAGGCAGGCAGAAATAAGATTTAGCTTCTGAAGCCCGGTTTGGTCATTATTTCTCAGCAGGGTGACTGTAAAAGAATGTTTGCATGGATAAAACTTAGAAATTCAGATGCCAAATAATTCACTGAGGACAAATTAATTCTTAAAACTTAAAAAAAAAAATTCTCACATGGTCATATTAAACATAATATGTATATAATATACATTTTGTATCAAATAATTTTTATCTAAATCATAAATTGTCACATTAAAACCGCTGGTGTTTATTGAGAATAATACAGTATAAATATACACTTTTAAATCTGGCAGTACTATTTAAAAAAAATATTTTTTTTTAAGAAATGATACTTTTATTTATTATTGTTACAAAAGATTTCTGTTTCTAATAAATGCTGTTCTTTTGAACTTTCTGTTCATCTGTGAATCCTGGAAAATAAAATGTATCTCAGTTTCCACCAAAATATTGTGTAGCACAACTGTGTTCAACATTGATAATAATCAGAAATGTTTCTTGAGCAGCAAATCAGCATATTAGAGTGATTTCTGAAGGATAATGTGACACTGAAGACTGGAGTAATGATGCTGAAAATACAGCTGCGCATCACAGGAATACATTACAGTTTAACAGATATTCACACAGAAAACAGCGGTTTTAAATTGCAATAATATTTCACTATTTTTGCTGTATTTTAGTAAATGTGGTCTTGGTGAGCAGAAGAGACTTCTGCAGTACAGTGGTCATGTTGCTTATAATAGCCCCTTTGAACGGTTCACATGATTCGCTCTTGATGTTTTCTTTCTTCTTAAAATCTCTCAGTCATTGTGACGTGTGACGACCTTTCCTAAACACTCCTTCATTATACCCAAAATACTGTACACAAACGCTTACAGTGACACAGCACGCAGAGCTCAAACGCAAGAGCACTCTGAAAACAACTGTTTCTCTTTCTTCTTGTAAAACCGGAGATGTCAGAGCATGAGCTTGTCTAAAAACAGGAAGCAGTTTGGCCCAGACTTTTTCCAGAGACATGGGAGGAATATTTTCAATTCAAACCACAATTAAATCACTGGTTCAGCGCCTGTAAAAACACATCTCGTCCCCCTGAGGAATAACCTCCATCTGAACAAGGTCTGTAGTGTCAGGATCAATCAGGTCTTGTGTGTCATGAAGGCAGCAGATCGATAAAGCGTCTCTGAACTCTCAGCACAGACGGATCTGTCCAATCCCATAATGCTCTGCCATACAACAGCCACTGTTTTTACTGTCATAGCTGCTTTCACAATCATTCAGAATGTGTATGGTCCATTCTCTGCCTGATTTTTATGGTTTCATTTGAAACGGTTTCTTCTGAACTGTCAATAAATCACTGATTGAAGGCTCAAACTATCGCAGAGCAGCAAAGAAACATGCGCTCTTCCCAAACGCATAAACAATCTGATTAATAAATCACATAATGCAATAAAAAAGAACAACTGACATTAATATTGTTGTTAATATGTATTATGTTAAAATATGTATTTATATGTTGACATTTCTTTCAAAACATGGTTTGTGCAACAATTATTCAAAGTGTTTTGTGGCTAAAGGTCAGTTCAAACATGGCATTACAGTAAATGTCATTACAATACAGCACATTATTACAGTCGTTGACTTCTGAAAATTCAGCTTTGCATCACAGTAATAAATTACATTTTACAATATATTCACATAGAAAACAGTTATTATAAACTGTAATCATATTTCACAATATTACTGTTTTTACTGCATTTTTTATCAAATAAATGCAGCCTTGGTGTTAATTAATTAATTTACATATAACAGTTGATATTGGGTGCTTTTCTGTAAACACTGATGGAAATGGTTTGGATGTGGCTCAGGCTTCCTCTGCTGAGAGACTTTGACCCTTCGGTACAAATTATGTCTAATCACATATAATCACAGCTGCCATAAACACACACTGATGCACTAATGAATATCTGTCAGCATCATAAACTCATTCGTTCTTATCTTCAGTATGATTCACATTTGAATTATGATGCATGCAACTAAACATTTATGATTCCACCTTTGAACAATATGTGATGTCAGGTGGTTCTGGAGAATCTCTGAGCGTAGCTCGTATTGAAATCCATCTCAGGTGATTCGTCACTCTCTTGAATCTTTAGATGAATGGGATGTTGCACACAGAATGTTCATAGTTATTTTGGAGGAATACTTCGCATCTGTAATTAAGCTGTTTTATCCGAGGTGAAATGTCTGTCAGTGCATGCAGAATCCTGAGGTCACGTGACGTCTGCGTGTGATTGAGATTTTCTCAAATGTACTTTCTAAATGAGGCTATTTTCTTATAAAGCTGCAGATAACTGGGAATATTTCAGACTCTTGGTGTTTGATTGACGGGTGAGTAGGCGGAGTCGGATGATCATTTCCAGCACATGCCAAACGTTTCTGATATCCTCCGTATGTGATTCAGTGATCCGATCGTGAAATGTTTTAGACCCTGTTTATGCCTGTATTTAGTGCTGATCGCTTGTGATTGGATCACAAAAAAAACATTAACAGGAAAGAGGGCCATAAACAGACACAGCTCAATCTGTGTTTAGTATGAATCTCTGCATGCAAATTAGGTTATAAAACTATAAAAATTCAGAAATCTTTTTTTTTGTTTGTTTTTTTTTACTGAAGAGACTGAAATGTCAAGAGGTCAAACTACATATTATATAAGTTTTATTTATTTTTTTTTTAAGGAAAATTTTGCATCCTTGCAACCTCCCATATGTTGGGACATGTCTACAGTATGTAGAGTTTATATTGTCATAAAAAATACTGCAAGAAACATTAAGTTTAAATATATTTTTTCACTCCCTGGGTGTCACAAATTTAAGGAATGTTACATTTTATGGTAATGGCCAAAACCATTCAATAACAAAGTTGCACTCAAAATGATAAACGCAGATAAATATGTTTTTGGTAATTACATTAGTTTAATACTTTACTACAGTGAAGGTGGAAACAGGGTCATAGACATTCAGCAGTGTTTCACACTCAGTTTCCTTTCTTCCATGTTTTCAAGGCATTGTAACCTCAACAAAAATGTGGCTGAAACACCAAAGGAACAACCGGCGGTGTTAATATTTTACTGTCTTACCATGCCAGATCTCTAAAGCGCTTCATGAGCTTTACTGCAGATATGCACACAGATGAGTTCAATCTAAAGCCCTCATGGCATCTGTGGTTTGTATTTGTTTTCAGTTATTCATGAGGAGAAACTTCATTGGGCATGAATGTTTTAAAGCTCATTTTCCTCAGACAGGTAATGATGCTGGGTTTGAGTGACTGCTGGGAAACTTACTCTGTTACCAAACACACCGGCTACATTTAAAAAAGCTGCAAGTCAGGAAGGCTGTTCCTACAAAGCTGTGAGGAGATCCAGGAGTAGCTGCTGTTCATGTGCTTGTAATTACACAGCGTGACGTCCAAGAGAGAAAAACATCAGTTCAGCGTGTCCGGCTGGACGTCTTCTGACAGTGCAGATACAACACATGCTCCAGTCCAATACAAGCATCCAAGATGTAGACTTATTTCTTCAGTAGAACAGTAAAGAAGATTTGTAGCTGAAACTGTGCTCCTTGGTGATTCATAGAATGCAAGTCAGTGGCTGCCGATCTTTGAGAATCAAAAAAGCATATGAGTGATTAATACCCAAGGCTCCTGATGATAAATTGAGGTCTTGTGAAGCGAAATGATCAGTCTGTGCAAGAAACTGATCATTATTTACATCATGACCAGTAAACCAGTGCAACAGGCAAACAGGGAAATCCGATTCTTTTCTGCAAACTGGTTCTTTCAGACAGTTTGCTTCTGGTTCAAATAACTGATTCACCAGTTTATGTAATCAATCATGCAATGACGTAACATATGCAATTATATTATTAAAGCACCTAATAATGATGGGAGACGTGGATGTTTTACGTCTAAAGCATACAGTATAAAGCGAATAAACCAGTCTTCATCAGCTCACCTTTTTACATAAACAATGAGAAAGCATAAAATGTTGATTTGGCTGCTTCACTGGCGTTCTCGGTTCACGCACGTGCATATCAGCGGCTCATCGGTCTTCGGTCTGAGTGACTGTTGGAGGAACTGGAGCGCTGAATCAGTTCATTCCTCTTAGGATCAGATAGGCCAGTATTTCGGCTAATTTCCGGTTGGAGTGACTGCCAGGCGTCTGAAAGTGAGTTTGAATCGAGCCGTGAACTGTTTCAGACGCTTCAGTCCGACTTAGTTAACTGGTTCAACTAGTTTGCCAAAAAGAATCGGTTCAAAAGAATGATTCATTCACGAACCAGACATCACTCCGGACCATTTGCCTGAGGCTCTGGATTACAGGTAATAATGTTGTAAATAATGTTCAGTTTCTTGCACAAACCGATCATTTCGCTTCATCGTCAGGAGCCTCGAGTATTAATTTTGTGCTCCTTGATATGCTTTATTTATTCTCAAAGATGTGCAGCCACTGACTTACATTCTGTGAATCACAGGCCCACATTTCAGCTAAAAAACGTCTTTAATGTTCTACTGAAGAAGAAAGTCACCTACATCTCGGATGGCCTGAGGGTGAGTAAATTAACAGCAAATTTCATTTTTGGGTGAACTATCCCTTTAAGCAATATGATTGAAATTTAAATTGATATTCATTACAAATCTTCCCTGTTTCTTAGCTGTTTTTCTTGCTCTTTTGTGCCTAACCCTTATGAAAATTGACCATGATTTTACTATTGTAAGTGTAGTAAAAGTGTAGTAACCATGTTTTTTTGGCATATTGATTACCATTTGTATATCTGCAGTTTTACTACAAATACCATGGTTAAATTACGGTTAGTGTTGCAAAACCATGGTTAATTTGTGGTTCCCATGGTTTAACTATAGTAACCATGGTTTTTTGGTTTTATTTCTAGCAAAACCATGGTTAATTTTCATAAACATCACTGTGATGCACAGCCTGTCGTGATTTACTTCTGTCATGTTTTCTGATTCAGTGTATTCAAGTTATTTGATACTATCGAGTGATCAAGTCATACTGCTAAAAAATGTATAGCCTGAATGCACTGTAAGTCGCTTTGGATAAAAGCGTCTGCTAAATGCATAAATTATTAATAATTATTATTATTATTATCAAGTATTTGATACTACAGGAGAGCCTGAGAAAGCAGTGCATCTGTTTGCCAGAAGAGAAACAGCTGATATTATTCTACTGGAACATTAGACTGACTAAATATCTTCTTAAGCTCTAAAACATCCCAAGACCACAGTGTGAGTCCTGAATAAAGCAATGTTCTTGTCAGAGTGCATTAGTGAATCCATTAACAGAATATAAAGCTGCATAATGCAACTCTATGCTTAGGCCATCCATGTGTATTAGTCTGACTCACAGCTCATAATGAGAGACAGAGATGTAAAAAGACAAACAGAGCAAGTGTGACAGAACAGAAGAACTGTTTTTGGTGATGTTAGCATCTAACAAAGCAGTCGCCCAATATCTGACAAGCGTGCGTTCACTTTAAACCCATTAACTCTAACTAAGTTACAGCCCGTTGACCTCGAGTTACTGTCCTCATGCAGAATGGAGCTGTCATAATTATCAGAGAATGATAATGAATGAGATAAAGCCGTTCTGATGTCAATCACTGCATTCGGTTGACACTTGCTGAATGTTTCTATGAGCGACTAACACAGATTCATCATGAATGATTCGTTTGATCTGTTCTCTGCAGTCCCTCAGTTCATCTCCTGTGCTGGCACTGTCTCAACACTCGTTTCTCATTGACATGCAAGAGTTGCGTCATGCTGTTCCAGACTGCTGACAAACACACACTCACTCACTCACTCACGCAGGATGCGTTCTTGTACTGCTCTGGCAGTATTTTATGTTCATGAACACTGTGCAAATTATGGGCATTTTCTGTGTGCATGTAAAGGTCCTGATGCACTTCAAGAGAAATGGAGGAACAAACTGGTGTGCTGTCATTTCAAACAAAATTATGCCAAAATAAAGTTAGTTTAGAGTTCGTTTCAGGACTTCAAAACATTCCAGAAAAGTTTGCTCTGGCTGCTAAACACCCTCGAATTACCACTGGTCTGTGGTGATGATGTCACAGATGGGTGTGGCTCCATGGCCCCGCCTTCTTTGACATGCAAATCAAGATCAGAGGCCAAGAAAAACATGAACACCCTGGAGAACTGTTTTAGAGATGAAACTGAAGTTGTAATTCTAACTGAAAGCAACACTGTTTTTCATGTTTAATACTATAAAGCTGCACAATCTGCTGTATAAAGTGCTAAATGAATAATCAGCGTGCCGTGACTGCAGAGCTGGTGCAAATATATGCAATATGATCAGATGCTTTCTCAGCTGCTGTTTTCTCACCGCTGTCATTTTTAATGTGTGTTTATTTTGTTTTTGAGAGGAAACCCTTGATGAAGCTGCTTATAGAGTTTGTAAACCTCACTGCAGTAACAACAAACCAGCTGTTCCAGTGTGCAGTTTAGTAATATGTGGTTAATTTACAACAAAACAGCAGAAAACATAATACCTTCGCCTCCAAAATCAGTTTTGTCTTGCATTACATAATAAAATTTAATGAGCTCAGTGTCAAATTTTTTTCAGCTAATTATATTTCGTGAATTTGTAATCTGCGCAAAGGATTGTGGGTGATTGAAGGACATGAAGGACACACCTGATGCATCCTTCAAAACAGGCCAAAAGAAGGACACAAAATAAAGACTGCCTACTATGTATCCTTTAAATTGAGACGTCCTTCGAAGGGAGCTTTATGATGATGTGTAGCCTTACTAGTACGCATCCTTCCGATTGACAAGCACCTGTTAAGATCAACCTAAACCTTGATAAAGCTGGTTAGAGCTGATAAACCACACTGCAGTACAACAAACCAGCTTCCATGTCCTAAAACCCATCTAATGCTAATGTGTTTTCATGTGTTTTCAGTTCTATGTTTTGTTTTGTAGTTTTCATAGAAGACGGTTGCTGTAAATTCTGTACTATTTAAAATGCAGTAGACTGAAAATTAGTCTTCGGCTTTCCCTGAAGACACAGTTCAGGTAAACCTTTAGTTTAGGTACTAGTTCTCACTATTAACTAGCCTGTATATTAGCATGCATATTACTAGCATATTGGCTGTTTATCAGTACTTATAAAGCACATATTAAAGGCACAATATGTAAGATTTTTAAAATTAAAATATCCAAAAACTACTAGAACAGTGTTATATATTTTGCTGACTTGTGTACTTACATTATCCCAAATGTTTCGAAGAATGTTTAAATCCAGAGAAATAAGCAATTTTAACTAGTGACACGGAGCGTGTCCATAGTGTCATTGTGTCACCTGCCAATGACGTCATAACCCCTCGATTTCTGGTTTAGTTTTGTAGAAAACATGGAAACACCGAAGACGCTTTAATATGTTGTGTGTTTTAATAGACCGGTGACGAGCGCACAGAGTAGCATTATAACATAACTAAATGTATCTAGTGTGATAAAACAGCGCTGCTTTACCCCACATACTCACGACCGGAAGCAGCGGAAGCGCTCGACTGTGGCATAATAAAAGCTCCACTGCTTTCCAGCCGTGTGTCACGCTCATTCAGTGTTTTGAATACGCGCCCTCTAGCGGCGAAAATTACATATTGTGCCTTTAATGTCTTATTCTGCATGAGCATATTTTAGATCCCTTAATCCGACCCCATACCTAAACTTAACAACTACCTTACTAACTATTAATAAGCAGAAAATTAAGAGTTTATTGAGGCAAAAGTCATAGTTAATAATTAGTTGATAGTGAGAACTGGACCTTAAAATAAAGTGCGACCACAGTTCATGTGAAATGCACCGCTCTACACATCTCAACATCACATATGAAATGTTAATTGAATACTGTATATTTTCATTTAGTAGGATTGTAGCATCACAATGAACTCAAAAGAGCCATCAAAAATCTACCAAAATCTGTCCTATTTTTGCATAGTTTGTACTACAAGACACCCACAAAAATCAAAGTGAGATTTACACTGCAAGCTCTATAAATGCATATATAATAACACATGTGAGTGGAAACACACGTCTGTTGAAAATATTGAATACAGTCATTATTATTAAAATTCTGTTAACTGACACTACACTGTGAAAATTATTTTTCAAAATTGTAAATAAAACAGATTACTTGAGAAGGTTTTAAAAGAAAAGTTGAAGATTTTCAGTTTTAATTCAGTGTGTTACTTGCTGTTTCTTTGCAATTATTTGTGCAAATTCACTAGCAATTTCTGAGTGAAAATTGTTTAAATTAAATGTTGCACCATTTTTTGTTTCAGTGTAGTAGTAACACAGAAATGACACATAAAGAATGTAAAATAATAGCAAGTTTGTTCAGCATGTTTTAATTCCTAATTCTTTCATATGTGTTATTTCATAGTCCTGATGCCTTTACTATTATTACGACATGTAGAAGATAGATAGTCATAATACAGTATGTGATCCAAACCTGGCAGGAGAAGCTCTTAGTGTGTAGTCGCTGTAAATCATTCACATGATGAAGGATGCAGATGCGGATGCGCACCTGCCGACAGATGCTGATCCTCGTCTCCATGGAGACCTAAACAGGCCATTATCATGGGCAGCTCTTCTAAATGCATTGGATCAGTGCTGGCGGCGCGTTTATTTACTCAATGAGGAGGTGCCAGAGGAGTGTGAGATCTGAGAGCTCTTGAGAACAGCAGCAGGGCTCCACTCATGTCATATTGTTAGTCATTTGAACCTGCGCTGCCTCCAGAAAGCCAGTGTTCCTTCAGACAAACAACCGTCATCATGAACCTGATGTGAAATAACCAATGAAAATCAATAAAATCACACTGAATGAAATACATTTTTCAAAATATCCTCATACAGGTTTGGAATACTATGATGTTGAGTCATTTTTTGGTTCCTTTGAAACCAGCGAAAACAGCAAAGTGGAAGACGAAGGAGGCGTGGCTTTGGAGAGTGATTTGCAGGGAGGGTGGGATCTTATGCTTTCAATGCTAGCTTTTCTGAAATCACCTACCCTACCTTTAAATGTCTAAATACCTGCAGTACTCAGGTAAAAGTGTGTATGTCTGCCTATAGACCCTGACGTGGCACTAAGCACTTTTTCATGTCAAAGACTGTTTTTATCAATGTTGCCATGGAGTTTAGCGTACACACACTCTAAAATCTAATGTGAGCAGCATACACATGTTTTATTAATGAAGCCCCACAACTATAAGAGTCTCACGCTGACAGTCTCAGTCTGGTGTAACCCATGTTAAATGTGGTGCCTAAAGAAAATAAATAATATAATTGTATATTCTAATAGTTACACATTTAATTAAAAAAGTTAAACGATCTATTAATATGCATTGTGAATTAATTATGTATAAATAAAAATAATTAGTATTATAATTGAGTGCAGAACATGTGATGTATTACACGTACACGAGTTGTGTATGACGTAAGCAGATGACTCACGGAAGTGCAAGAGACGCACTGAACACGAGATGAGAGCGATACAGAAGGGATTAAAAAGGTTTATATTGTAATAATTCATTTAATATGGTTATAAGCAACTTTATAATACTTTATGGTTGATGATGATAAATCGTTTTAGAATGATGATTGCTGATTTAAGCGTGGATGCTAGCCGATTGTGAAGCTCCTTTTGACTCTGAAGCGGGTGTTTATCAAACTGTGAAACTCGGGATTTGGTGAGTTTATATGTATTTTATTTTCTTTGAAAGATGTATTTTGTTACTATGCATATCATTATGCATGTTGTAAAGATTGTTTGCATATTTTCTGATTGTTAATATGATTTATTTTGGAATGTTGAGTGATATATTCTGCTTAGCAATTAATGAATATTAATTTCCATATTCTCAATATGCCTGTAAGATAACACGTTCATTATGAACGTGGATATGGATGTTTAAACACTCAGTTTAAAGAGAAAAATTATATAGAGACAATTTTGAATGTTAATGACACTGTTTTGGTAAAACAGGTCAGGTTTATTGGTTGAGTTGAGAACCTCTCTCATGGATTTGAGATGGCGGGCCACCAAGAAAAAAATTGAATGCTGATTTCTGAACCTGGGAAAAAGACACTTTTGCTGCATCACAAGGATTCCTTAAATTCTTCAACTTTCTTCAATTGGGAGGACATTCTCTTTTGTTCGGGTACTTCTTTGAACTGGTAGGATTTAACTGATTTTGCACTCACCCACTGGATTTCTTACAGGACTTTCTGGACGATATTCAAAGACAATTCAGACAAAGAGTTCTAACAAGAGTATTGTTTATTGAATGTTATTGAATGTGAGTCGGATGTAAATTTTGGATTTATTTGAATTTTTATTTGAACATTTTAGTTGTGTCAAGAAGTTCCAATTTGGTTGAATTTTGGGTATATAACATTGTATCTTGTTTAAGGGTTTATTTGGTTTGTCTAAACGGTATAGAAAGTAATAACGCTAAAAGCAAAATAGAATAAGAA